GGTATTTAACTAAATCACGTATCTTTAAAACCACATATCAAATTTAATTGTTACTTGTATTTTCGAGGTAAACAGAAACAATCAAAACAAACATTGTTTTGGTATAAACTATACAATACGATACAGTGGGGAACAACAATCCAAACAAGCTGTTAGTAAAATCAATGGATATGAAACTTTCCTTTACTATGTTACTTGGCGTATTCTGCTACTTGATGTGCTTCCTGAAAAAGAGATTTGTTGGCCCAATTAAAGGTTAGTTTTGAAGACTGACAAAGGAACTCAGGATGAACCAGGTCCATCACTCAGGTGCACAAAAATGGGCAGATTCGAGCATGCGGGTTGCACGTGAAGGAGATAAGCTTAACTTGGTGTATTTAATATCTCCTGATCGAAAAGGTTGCATAATTGATAAGGAGAAGGAGTCCTTAATCAAAGAGAACACTATCCAAGATAGGGAAGGAGTTAGAAGTTGAAATCAACTAGAACTCTTCCACCAAGGAAGAGTTGCATCAGAACTCTAGTTATTTCTTCATCTACTAACTCTATAAATTGCAGGATGTTCTCACATTACATGTGTTGCACAAAAACGCAAAAGTTAAACATGAATTGAGAGCAAAATAGCAAGGGTTTTTGCAAGCAGTTCGTGTGTGATTCAAATGTGCAAACCTGAAGCTACATGAACCAGATTGAAGAACTAGCTCCATAAAGAGTTTTATGTGTCTTTCTTTATTTCTAGTTCAATTGTTGTAGGTGTTTTCATATTGCACCTTTCAGCTTTACCTAGAAGCAATTGTAATAGGTACTTTGTGTATTCAAGTTAGAGTTAACTTGAAGTTGTCGCAATAGTTAGAGGTTGATTGCTACAACGGGATTAGAGTTAATTCTTAGGTTTACAAAGAGTTTTTGTGAATGCTGTTTTGGCTCAGTGATTTTAGTGGAAGTTTGAGAAAATCCAACTGAGTAGTAGGTCGTGGTTTTTTCACCTTTTGAGCCAAGTGTTTTCCACGTAAAAATATATGTGTTCTTTATTTTAAGTATTTATTATTCCGCAAACAGTAGTAGTTGGAGCACCTAGAAGAACCAGGTTCTTCTATAGTTCAGTTAAGCAAAAATTGGGTACCACACAAATCACCCCCCCTCTTGTGTGGTATTGACGCTTAAAACATCAATTGGTATCAGAGCAGGTTATCCTTGAAGAGGCTAACACCTTAGGAAAAGATCAAAATGAGTGCACCACCTAGAAACTGGGAAGGGCAATCCATACTAGGCCTCCACTCTTTAATGGTCAGTACTATTCTTGGTGGAAGAACAGGATGAGAGATCATATCATAGGAGAAGACTATGAACTCTGGGACATAGTCACTGATGGTCCTCTAGCAACTACAAAGAAGAATGCTGAAGGTGTGGATGTGCCAAAGACAAGAGCTGACTGCACTGCTGAAGATCTGAAGAAATGGGAAAAGAATGCCAAGGCCAAGAAATGGCTTGTGTGTGGACTGGGTCCAGACGAGTACAGCAGGATTCAAAGCTGTACTACTGCAAAGGAAATATGGGACACTTTACAAGTGGCTCATGAAGGAACTCCTCAAGTAAAGAGATCAAGAGGGGACACTANTGAAGCCGTTTTTTAATCACACAAGGGCCGGAGGTGAGTTTTTTGAAGAGTCGGCGGCACCACCGGTTTGGCCGGCCGGGAGGTAGTTAAAGATGATGCTTTCTCGTTTTTTGGGAACTCTTTTGGAAGTTTTAGCCATAATTTTAAAGCTAAGGAATACAGACGGTAGCAGAGCGTGGTGTTTTACGGAAACTTGGCATTTTCAGGCGTATTAAAGAGGCGGTAAAAATAGATGATGAGAGAAAGAGATGAAGAAGAGATGTAATAAGAGAAATGTGATGAAGGAGTAAGGTTTTCAATTCAAAGAAGTAGCTTCGTATTAATAGATGAGCAACGACGGTTCGGCAGCGCTAGTGGCCGACCATAACTGGCATGCATTTACTGCTTTGGGGAAGCGAGCCGACGGAATGTTTCAGTCACTTCGAGCGCCTACATCACATGAATGACATCATCATTGTAGACTCCAGAGAATCGAGGTTCAAATCGTTTCTTATCATCTTATTTTTATAAACGCTAGGACTATCTGTATACGGTCAAGATCGTATGCCTTCAATCTATAGGCTCGAAGGGTCGTCTTGAGCTCGAGTTCAGGCAAGGTCGAGTTCGAGCTTGAGAGACCAGATCTGAGCTCGAAGACAGAGTGCAATGCCCGAAAATTGAAGCATGATGTACACCGAGGCCGAGTATGCTCGACCCCGAAATAATACCGTTATGGATTTCTAACAGAATGAGCGAGATTCCTGCCACGTCCTCAAGATCATGGCGCAAATCCCGGAATAGAATTGTACGATTCCGTACTAGCCGGTTAGATGGCTGTACCAAGAATATTCCCTACTGTAAATAGAAATGTACCCTAAATAACGTTCCCCTATTATGTAAAGGGGACCCCAATCATTTATAAGATCGTCTAATCATTGAGCAAACAATATACTCTTTACTTTTCGCTTACTGTTCATCAGAATTGTCCTTTAGCTCTACTGCTCTTACTTTACTTTTCTTGCTTAATTGTTCTTATTGTTCTTGAACCCACCTCGAGGTCGCTAAGCTCGAGGTCATCACTGCTACGTAAAATTGGTTTGATTCACTTATTTCTTTCATTTCTACTTCCTATTTCTTGATTATTAATTGGTATTTAACTAAATCACGTATCTTTAAAACCACATATCAAATTTAATTGTTACATGTATTTTCGAGGTAAACAGAAACAATCAAAACAAACATTGTTTTGGAATAAACTATACAATACGATACAACGGGGAACAACAATCCAAACAAGTTGTTAGTAAAATCAATGGATATGAAAATTTCCTTTACTATGTTACTTGGCGTATTCTGCTGCTTGATGTGCTTCCTGAAAAAAGAGATTTGCTGGCCCAATTAAAGGTTAGTTTTGAAGACTGACAAAGGAACTCAGGATGAACCAGGTCCATCACTCAGGTGCACAAAAACGGGCAGATTCGAGCATGCAGGTTGCACGTGAAGGAGATAAGCTTAACTTGGTGTATTCAATATCTCCTGATTGAAAAGGTTGCATAATTGATAAGGAGAAGGAGTCCTTAATCAAAGAGAACACTATCCAAGATAGGGAAGGAGTTAGAAGTTGAAATCAACTAGAACTCTTCCACCAAGCTCACCCCAACAGTTTATTCATGTCTTATTATTAAAAAAAAGAAAGTAACCTAAATAGCAGTCAGCTTAATCGCTTAAAGTAAATATAATAGGAGAATGTATAATATACGTATAATTGCAGTCTGATTATCTGCTTAAAGTAAAACTAGTCGGAGAATGTATAATATATGTATAACCCGTATTAATTATGTATACCAGTTAAAAAAAGCAAAAAGTGTATTCATCCGATTATTTGTGTAAATATCTCCACACAAAAAATAAACTAAATTGCGGTCCACCAACCATTTAAACCAAAATATCCAGCTGATGTTTAACCCATATATAATCATGTATAATTTATATATACCAACTAGAAAAAGGAAAGAATAAATACGGCCTGTTATTTGTGTAACGATCTCTAAAAAAAAAGGAATTAACTTATAGAGGCATCCACCCAAGCGTTTAAACTAAGAACAGTTGGCAGATAAATAATATATATATGATTTGTGTATAAGTAATGTATAATCTATGTATACTGGCTATGAAAATAAACGGTGAATCCGACTGGTAATTTGTGTAAAGATCTCAAAGAACTCAAAATAATGGGTGGATAAGGCTTGAAACGTTGAGTCTCAAGTAAGATAGATGTAGTCGCACTTCTTACAGCTTGAATAAGAATGATGTTTGCTCAAAAGTTATTACAAAACTTACGAGTATAAAACAATATAAATAAACCACGGGATAATCATAGCAAATCGTAATAATCCGTTGGATCAAATGAAAGAAATGAAAATAAGTACTCAGAAATAAGGGTAGAAGCATTAGAAACCTTTATTGATAATATTTGTTTGGTCTGCCTCTCCATGGAGAGGTTCAGAACCTTACAATGGTGTTTTCTTTTCCCATAAGAGGGGTATATTTTCTCGATTCTCTCTCCTCTCACTAGTGGTGAAGAAGCAGCCCCCCCCCCTCCTTTCTGGGGTTTCCTCTCTTGGTATTTATAGCTGTGAGCTTCGTGAGCTGGCAATAAGTGGCCGTGACCATGTTGGGGTTTCGCCTTCATGGTGGCGGATGGGCCGTGGCCTTGTTGATCGAATCAGATAAGGGTTGGATATAATTAATTCTGAGTGGTCGTGCCACTAATTAATCATGGATTAACTTAAAACGGGATTAGCCTCGTTAATTATCGTGGGGTCGGATTCTGACTCATACAAATGATAAGAGAAAATAAGAAATTTAAGAGATTGATCTGATCTTTTTGTGAAATAAAATCCATGGTATCAACTCTGTTTTGTTAATTCCTAATTTCGTAGCATATATGCAATTTTAACATTTCCTTTGAAATAACTTCGTTCAATTATTAAAATCTCAAGTCCAAATGGAAATTTCTGTTAACAGGATGTGTCTCTTCCTCATGATTAAGGTCATATACAGATAGTCCCATAATAACAATCTAAAGAGATAATAAGTCAGTCAAACCCAAAATATTTTTATTATTCATGTAATATCATTTTTAAAAGATTTTTTAGATATTATGAAATAGATTAAAGGTCAAAGGTCTTGAAGTCTGGAATGCCAATACAAGAACAAAAAGAATTAATAACAAAAAACAATCGAATCTTGTTATTATTTCCTTGTAATAGCAAACTAATAATCCAGAAAAACATCAGGATTTTCACAAAGACAAGAATTAGAAGAAGCCAAACATATTATTAAAAAAAAAAAAAAAAAAAAAAAAAAAAAAAAACTTCAAGGTAGCATTATCAATAGTCTATAATAGCAAGCACCAAATCCAAATTTTATTTTCATCCAAAATTGAAACCAAATATTAAGGTGCATAAACATCCAAAGTTAATCTTGGAGTAACAATAGCTTCAAGAGGGACAGCTTTCTGCAAAGCTAATCCAAAAGCTTCCTCCATATTTAACTCAATAACATCATTTGGTAATTTCCAATCAAATGAATGAACCAAAGTTCCCAATATATACTCCACCATTACTATTCCCATTCTTGTCCCTGCACATATCCTTCGTCCTGCACCAAATGGAATTAGCTCAAAATCATTCCCTCGTGGATCTATCTTCGCGTTTTTCCCACTCAAGAATCTTTCAGGATTAAACTCTAGCGGTTTTTCCCATACATCAGGATCTCTTCCAATCGCCCAAATATTAACGCTGAGCCTAGTGTTTTTTGGTATGTAATAACCATTCACTTCACACGGTTCGTTCGAGATTCTAGGGAGATTTAATGGTGTAGATGGATGTTTTCGAAATGTTTCTTTGCAAATTGCTCGAAGATAAGGAAGATTTGGGATATCAGATTCAAGTAAACGCCTATTTTTCCCAATAACTTGATCCATTTCTGCTTGTGCTTTTTTGAGAATTTTTGGATTTTTCATCATTTCTGCAAGTGCCCATTCTATTACACTAGAAGAAGTGTCTGTACCAGCAGTGAACAAATTCTGGTAACAAAATTTTGTCAAATAAAGATAACATTAGAAAATTAATTATCAAAGTCCCTATAGAGGAAAAATAAATGTAGTTAATAAAGACTTCTATTTATAATAATTTTACTATTAACTGGCACTGAAAAATAGCTACTGAAAAAATCATCTCATTTAATGAGACAGCCAGGGTACTGTTACGTGGCCTAGCTATTAAACACACACTTGGTTTAAACTTTAAAGTGATTTTATCATTCCTTTTTTTTTAAGCTAAAGTTTGTAGGGATCTTTGACTGTGAAAAATAAGACTAAAATGGTTACAGACTAAACGATGTTTAAATGAAATTAATTACTACATGGACTCTAAATGATAAAAGAAAATTTCTACACGTAAATAGAGAATTTTGTTTCAATCCTTTGAAATATACACACGCATGGATCTGATCAGAGTGTAGTGCTACTATTATATCTCTCGCTTTTTTTATTGGAGTACCTATTTTGTGAGCAGCTAAACATAATATATGCAAGAATTTTATTTATATACACTGAATATGTAATGAAAAGTACACTAAAAGCACAATTAATTTAATCGGGTACAGCAGATTTTACCTTATTTTTCAAGTTACCATAGGTTTATTACGAAGAATTATATATTGTTAAGGTCAAACTTAATATGATGATATACCAAAAGATTTATATAATATCGGGTTCACAAAACTTAAACTTATATATGCATCAAAGATTAGCATATATTTTTCAAGTTACCATAGGTTTATTAAAAAAAATTATATATTGTCACTGTCAAACTTAATCTGATGATATAAAATATTTATATATTATTGGTTCACAAAACTTAAACTCATATATATATATAAATGTATATATTGAAGTAAGGCTGTTTCAAGTAAATTTAGATGGCATAAGGATTTAGAATAACATACCAGCAAAAGTGCTTTGATATTAGTTGTAGTGAGCCTTTCTCCTTCAGAATTATCCCTATTTGCCATAACAACATCAAGAAAATCCTCTTTCCCTTTACGTTCATAGCTAGTTTCCTTGTGTTCATCAAACATCTTTGTCAACAAAGCATCAAATTTCTTGTGTAAATTCTTCATTCCTCTTTCTATCCCTTGTAAATCCAACCAAGCTAATGAAGGAATAAGATCTCCAATGTTAAAATACCCTGCTACTGTCATTAACTCCACCACCATATCCTTAAATTCATTAACCTCAGCACCTTTTTTCGCGAAAACTCGCTTGCTTAATATTACTTGTCCTATCATATTCGCCATAGCGAATGTCAGCATCTCCGCCACCACCACTCGTTCGCCTTCTCGGCTCATTTCGGACATCGATTTTAGCATGTGCCCTAGCTCATTGGCACGTACATTTGTCCAATTTTCTAAGGCTTTTCCCCCTAGCATATGCAAGTTGCTCAATTTCCTTAGCAACTTCCAACGTGGTCCATAATGTGCAAAAACCATGTCTTGTGCATTATAGGCCAAGTGGGTGGCACCTGTTTAGAGGAAAAAATAACACTAAATTGTTAGAGGAAAAATACGAGAAAACTTCTTTGTGGGAAAGAACCATTTATTTGGTTCAGTTGATACCAAATGACAAATACATTGAGCTACTTATATGTTCCAAACGTTAATTTTAAACTTACATCTAAATAAGATTTATCACCTAGAAAGTACCAAAAGAAAATTCTAGAATAAATCAACGAGTTCATGATTTAAATTTAATAAATTCGACTTAGCTTTAAAGTTTCTTAGCACAAACTCATTGTACTTTTAAATTATGAGTTCAAATCTAGTATTTATTGAAAGTTTAGTGAATCTTCACATATACATTTACGGATTGCGTCAAAAATACTGATATCGGATGAAACTGTTGCCCAGGAGCTGCGGATTCGCCACTGTTTAGAATATTGGATAATATAAAAAAATAATCAATAATCCTTGCATCTAGAAGATCACAAAGTAAGCCTATACTACAAGCCATATCAATTCATTTACTAATTAATTTTTAGAATATTGAAAATTAATAAGCACCTGCATTAGGTGGACGATTGGAGAAGTTGATATCAAGTGTTTTCAAGAATGCTTTAGCAGCATCAGGAGTAGAAGCAACAGCCATACCACATGTGCCAACTTTTAAATACATAACAGGTCCATATTTTTTGGCCATTTTTGCAAGTGAAACATGTGGCATGGCTCCTAAGTATGGTAGTGCGCCGATCACCGGCCAGCCCCTCGGGCCCGGCGGGAGACGGCGGCGGCGGCCGGTAGTTTTTGAAAGAAGAGTTGAAATGAGAATATGTGATATAAGGAAAATTATAGCTGCTGTAGTAAGCTCAGTAAATGGCACCATGTTGTCTAAGCAAGAATAGCTTGATCAAGAATTAGGATGAATACATTTATGATACTTTGAATAATTTTAAACCTCACAATTGTGTATATATATATGTAATGAAATTTCCGTTTGACCATTGTGATTTGGTAGGTTTATGTAAGTTGAATGTCACGTTGATTGTTTACATCTGCCATTCAAACATTTATCTTGTATAGTTGCCTTTAAAGTGCTTAGGGCGACGATTTCATGGTTTTAAATTTTTAATACTCAAAGCTCTAATTATACATTGGCATGTTGTACCTATTCAAGATTTAAGCTTGACAGTTCGATCTTCAAGAACTTTAGCACTGAACTTATTGTACTTTTAAAAAATTAGTTCAGATTAACTTAATTGTTGAAATTTTAGTGATTCTCCACATATATATATATATTTAAACTCTACATCGAAAATTGGATTCGGTTGAACCCGTGCACAAAGGTTGCATATGTCACTAGTTGTATATACCTCCCTTCTTATTTTGGAAACTATGCACCAGTTCCCCTTCTTAATGTACTTAGTTATTTTTTTTTTCTTTTCATCTCACAAATAAAATGACCATTTTTCTTAGTGAAGGCATACATGTAAGTAAACTTATCATGTCAGTTAAATTTTTCAAATATATATTTTCCTACATAACTATGACGAAAAAAAACAAAGTCAGAAAAATCAAAAATGAAAAGCTATAACGAAATGAAAAAGAAAGGTTTTTTTTCTACACTAAATAAGAACTTTTAATGTACAAGGGAGAGATTTTTCATTCTGTAAATTGATTTTTAATACGTATTTGTAAGAAGAGAGGTCCTCGTTGTAATATTTAAAAAGTACATTAAAACCTCAGTGTGTGTTTAACCTTTTATTTTTAGTTAATTACCTTTTCTTTTCTTATTTTCTGGAGTTGGAAATCAACTCATAAATAGGATCATTTTTGTCACAATATACCCTTTACCTTCATCCACTGAACAAAATTATTTAAGAAGTTTTTTTTTATTTTTGTATTTTCATTACTATTTAGAGGAGGAGGAGAAGATATTTAATTAATGACATAATTCATTATTTAAAAATAATTTAACTTTAAACTTCTCATTTTACCCTTAAAAGATGATTTATAATTACACAAATCTCTATTATTGTTTTAGACTACATATTTCAAAAGTATTTTTTTTTTTAAATTTTATGCTCAGTCAAATACCTCCACATAAATTAAAAAGGAGGAAGTAATATATTTTTGGTTTTCTCAGTTCCTTTTCACACAATTTATTTAATGCTTCTGGTACGCTATCTGAGAAGTCATTTTCCCTGCCTTAGGAGCCATCACAGTAATACGCATTGGAGACTTGCTATTGTTTTGAATGGCAGATAGAAATCTAACAACACAAGTTAATGATTAAATGGCACTTATTACATTGCATGGATGATTTATTAATTAAGGGGTCGACATCAAAATACATAATTTATTAATTAAATCACAATTTCCTCAAATATTTCGTCAGTGCTTCATACAAATACGTTGACGATTAAATGGCAATTATTGCGCAAGGATAATCCTCTCAAGGGGTCAACATTAAAAACTATTAATTCTCATAAATGTATGTTGTATACATACACATTAATTATGCATACACACACATACAATGATTGAAGGGCTATCAAGACAGGCGTATATAATCTATTAAAGACGGATACAAGATTTAACTTGGCGGGTTCGAACTATAAAATTATTAATATTGAATTTATTTTATTTTTAAAATATTAAATTCAAATCTAATATTTGTTGACATTTTAATAAGTATTCATACTGAATTTGAATGAACCGCCCTGGCTCTCTACCCCATACTAGCCGGGGGTTGGTGCAAAATATATGAAATGCATGCATCTTAACCACCTCAAATTTAGACCATATACGTAGTGGTTGAGAATGTATTCCTAAAAGGCCAAATAAGCTATATCACATGTTGTCTTCCCTTCTCTTGTCTTTTTCGTCTTGCCTTATATTAAACAATACTCAAACTTGTCGCACCTCCCAATTATCTGTAAATTACAGATAGTATTTCACGAAGTTTATATTTATTTTTTTCAAATAAATATAAACTATAGGTCACCTTCGTTTGACCTATAGTTGATCTTTATGCAAATGTTCCCTTTTTAGGCTATTGTATAAATTTCGTCCCTATGTTAAAAAGGTGTGCAAATAACCCTTAAAAAGTGTAAAAATGGCGTGTGGTAGCCACTATTGAAGATGGTATTTATTTTTTATTCAGCAATTCTAATGTTGAGCAAAAATAGCCACTACTCTATTAAAATTAATATGAAAAGACATTTTTATCCTTTCTTCCATTGCTTTTCTTCTCAAACCCTCGCTTCTCTCTGAACTTGGAACTCCGGTTGAGATGGCTTCGTCGTCTCAACCGAAAAATGCAAACACTCTTATGTTGAATCTCTTTACTACACAAACACTTTACAAGGTATTCATAATTTAGCCATTTCGCTGTTGTCTTCTTATGTTGCGTTTTTTCTTCTTTTTGCAACTATTCTGCTGCTTCATTGTTCCCGAAACAAACCAATTTACCAATATAATGACAATTATCTGTTCTTCAGTCAATTCCACAGTTTTTTTTTATCGTCCAAGATTCCGACATGATTTTTCATCTTAGGAAGCTTTTCTATATATATATATATATATATATATATATATATATATATATATATATATATATATATATA